CTTTGTTGCTATTGTGAAGGGAATTGAGTCTTTGATTTGATTCTCAATTAGATTGTTATTGGCGTATATGAATGCCTCTGATTTCTGTGTATTGATTTTGTATCCTGAGACTTTACTAAATTCATTGATCAGTTCCAGGAGTTTCTTGGTTGAATCTTTGGGGTTTTCTAAATATAATATCATATCATTAGCAAACCGTGAAAGTTTGATCTCTTCTTCCCCTATTTGGATACCTTTAATTCCACTTTCCTGTCTGAGTGCTGTAGTCAGGACTTCCAGCACTATGTTGAATAGAAGTGGAGATAGTGGGCAGCCTTGTCTGGTTCCAGTTCTAAGTGGGAATGTGAAAGCACCATTTATTAAATAAACTATTGTTTTCCACAGAATTGAAACTGAGATAAATTTATATTTTCTGTAGTTACCACTTTTTATTTCTGTATTTTCTTCTCTCTTCCTCCCACCCCCATGCCCTCACTCCCACCCCCCATTTTATTGTCTCTGGGGAAGGGATGTGGCAAGCCAATCTCTTTGTTTTTGTGTTTCAAAAGCCCAAGTCCTCGTGGGAAGAGGATTAGCGTGTAGACAAAGTATCTTGGCTACAAAGTATACAAGGATTTTATTCAGCCTAAAGAGAGATTCTGGCCTTTCTTGCCCCTTAGGGTTGGTGATAATGCGGTGCTCAGGAAGAGCCTTGGGTCCCTATTAGAGGGAACCCATGTCCTACATCCTAGCAGGTCCTTTTGTAGACTACAAAACCTGAGAGAACAAGGGCTGTTCTAGGCAACCTTAACAAAAATTTACAAGCTACTGTAAGGGTCCCCATGTAACAAGGGCCTACCAAATGGGAAAGGAACACTGTGGGAAGAGGCAGTGGACCTCTGACTGCTTTCCTGTGTGGCCTTAAGAGCAAGGATTTAATGAACCTCTGCTCCCAGGCCTCAGCACCATGTAATAGCCCAGAACTGTAGCTTAAGCCTTGGATGCAGGAACTTCAAGAAGAACTGAGGTTAAGTTATTTTCCAACCCAAAAGAGTCCAAAGTTAAAGTTGAATGAAATCACAGACAATAAAGAAAGATACAACAAAATGTTTAAGAACATGGACTCTGAACTAATCTAACTGGGTTCAAACTCTAGCTCTGAAAGTTACTTGCTGTATTACCCTAGGCAAGTTACTTAACCTCTTTGTATGTTGGTTTACTAATTTGAAAAATGGTGGTTATAACAGCACTTACCTCAGAGGATTCAATAGGTTTGTATAAAGCACATAGTAAATGCTAATTAATTACTAGATGCCATTATTATTAATATTATTCACCTTAGTGGGTAGACTGTGATTCTTATCTACTACATGAGGGATTTTGTGACAAGATTGTTTTTAAATTTTTTTTTTCTTTACCTCCTGAGATTTCTATATCCTACTGACAAGACTGTTTTGAAAGACTATTATAGAATGTTGGAACAGATAGAGAGAGGTCAGTGGAGGGAAGGGAGGGAAGGAGAGAAGGAAAGTCAAGCAAGCAAATGAAGCCTGGTTATTTAGTCCAGCATACTGAATTTTCTTTTCTTTTCAAAATAATATCTCTTGGGTTATGTCATAAGGATCAAAAAATAAAAATAAATAAAATAAAATCTCATGTAACTTATTGAATATGGTACTAAATGTGAAAAACAGAATGGGTATATGGGTACTCAAAGTACAGTTTCTACTGAATATGTATTGCTTTCCCACCATCAGAAGACTAAATTTTCTGATTCCCAAAAGAATATACAATGTAATACTATGCATTTCTAAAAGAACTTATCTTATTCTGGAGAGGGAATGGCTTTTCCACTAACCCCAACTCAGGCTCTGTAGTCTGCCTCCACATGAGGACTCTGGAGAGCAGTTAGGATGCTGAACATTTTGCAAACTTTAGAGAAGTGATGTGAGCTAACTCTTTTTTAAGCTTTCCAAGAGTCAGTTGCCAATGCAAAGGTATTTACCTTAAATTTGCCCCCTGATGTATGCCCTGGGCACATGTGGAAAGACTGTGTCTTGGAAGAAGTGACCAGACTTCACAGGAAGGCTAGAGAAATTTCATTGTCCAGCCTGAAATGTGGAATGTTTTTAAGTCAGTCACTAAGCCAAAGATCGCTGTTCATTTCTTTTTCTTCTCCCCGTTTTTACTAATCTGAGAATAGAATAGCTGCTCATTTCTTATATAGACAATGCTTGCCCTCACTCAAGGGGAAACTCAACATGTGCTGGGAAGAAAGAGAGCCTCCTGGGAAGACTTTAATAACCCTTAGATGATCCAGGTGGGAAATTCCCCAAGCACCTAGGATTGCCTGGAGAAGAGATCACCCAAGCCCTGGGAGTTACTGTCTTGACCAGGGAGCACCTGGATGAGAAGTACATTTTCTTGGCTGGGATGCTAAGATTTAACAGAGGGAGAATGTGGCTCAGTACTACCTAGAGAGTATAAATGGATTTTTTCTTTGCTGTATCTTTTTCTCTACCCTCCCCCTCGCAAGAAAAAAAAACCCAAAACATAGTCAACTTTGATGTGTATCTCAGGGGAGGGAGGTAGCATGGCAGGAAAACAAATACTTTGCCAGTCCTGGTTTTTGTGTTCCAAAAGCATAAGTCCTTAGGGAAGGGGGATTAGGGTGCAGGGGCAGAGACCAAGTATCTGAGCCAGAAACTTAGAAGGAATAAAGATTTTGCACAAGCCTAGAAAAAGATTCTTTTCTTCTTCACTCCCTTCTCCTTGGGAGGAAGAGACAACAAGAGCAGAGAGATCTCTGTGGGAGCTCAAGCAACATTGATTAGGCTCAGCTTCCCAGAAGCAATACCTAGTTGGTGGGAAGACTCAAAAGAGGAAGGGCTGTGTAGAATGTCTAGATAGATGGACCAGTAGGTGACAATGGCAAAGAATTCTGTGCCCCATGCATGGAAGAGATGTTGGAGAGGACCATGGCATTTGAAAGAACGCATGTGGGCAGAGGGCTCAGCAGTAAATGCCAGGATTTAAGGATTTAAGATATCCTTATTCAACCCCCACTTTCCATACCTATGCCTAGGCACTACCTAATGTCCCCCAAATTGTGGTATCACCTGGGTTAAGGGAAATGAACATCACAAATGATTGATACTGTTTTCCCAATAATCTGGTGAAAAAGAGGGTGCTGAGTCAGAAATTGAGTTCCAGAAATAGTCACAACTCTACCCATGGCTGCAGTAGTCAGCTCTGACATTCATTTCAGCTCCATCTTACTGACTGAAGGAGTTACCATCCTGTGTGTTATGTTAGGAAGGAGATCAATGACTAGTAGGGCCTCTACCCCCACTCCTGTGGGGTGCTGGGTCTAAAAATGATTCCAGTGAGGCCGGGGCCGGGTGGCTCATGCCTGTAATCCTAGCACTCTGGGAGGCTGAGGCGGGCGGATTGCTCGAGGTCAGGAGTTTGAAACCAGCCTCAGCAAGAGCGAGACTCCTCTCTACTATAAATAGAAAGAAATTAATTGGCCAACTAAAAATAGATAGAAAAAAATAGCCAGGTATGGTGGCCCATGCCTGTAGTCCCAGGTACTCGGGAGGTGAGGCAGGAGGATCGCTTGAGCCCAAGAGTTTGAGGTTGCTGACGCCACAGCACTCTAGCCAGGGCAACAGAGTGAGACTCTGTCTCAAAAAAAAAAAAAAAAAAAAAGAACGGGGAAAAGAGACTATCTTCAGGGGCAGTGAGGAAAGAAGTGTAAGAGACCCCATCCATCCATCCATTCTTTGGCTAATTGGGACCCTTAAGGTAGAGTGGTGGCACTATTTGGAGAAACCACACTTTGATCTTCCAAATTGGCCAGGAAGGAAGATCTCCACAGGTGGAGTGGCTGGACCTCATAGCCCTGACTATTGTTCTCCTATCGTTACCCTGTTGTCAAAATTGAAATATGAGGGTTTGAATTTATCAGGCCCATGGTCTGCTTTCCTTACATGTTCTGGCAATACTGGGATTAATAAGCGATCTTCAAGAAGGAGGGGGCAGAGACAAGGCTTCCCACTATTACACTCCATTTAGACTTTGGCAACTTCAGAACCCTAAATTTATTGATGGTGCTGATGAAAAAGATTGAGGTTCTGAGGCCTACAGCAGGAAAACAAAAAAAGGTGGCTGAAGAGGTGAATAACTCAGTGATTGGGCCCTGAGGCCGGGCAGTTGAAAATATTAGCCTAGTTTTTCCCTCACAGCCTCCTACAACCCTCAAGGCATCCTGCTAAGGCAGGCCTGTGAGGCCTTCAAAAGAAATCACGCCCTTTAGGAGCTTTCATTTCCCAGCTACACCAGATGTATGTATCCTGGGGGACTGAAAAATGCCTAGGCTCTGGAGTGAGCACACCTGGGTTCAAGTTCTAACTCCTCCACACATAGTTGTGTGAAATGGAGCAAGTCATGTCTATTTTCCCCTCTAGGGCCCAGGTTTCCTCTTCTTTTCAGTGGAGATTGTTGATGTGAGAATGACATAAACAATTCTGTACTACGCCTGATACAGCACAGGAAGCGGTTCTTAAGCCACTGCGCGGAGGTTGACACGTAGTGAAAGCTGGGAGGAGGCAGCATTTACTACCAGCTAGAGGATCAGGGAATTTCTCAGGGAGGTGGACGGTGGAAGACAGAAAGAGCGGGCCTCAGTGGGAGGTGGCCTTTGCGCATGCGCATAGTCTTAAGAACCCAGCTGAGCAGCGAGGGGGCGGAGACAAGCTTCTGAAGAGGTTGCTATGGCACCGAGGGGCCAGATGAGGTTAACTTAACCCTTAAAAGCATTGTCCCCTCCCCCCACCCGCCAACGCCAGGGCCTAGGGCCATTGTTCCTGGCAAAATGGCGTCGGTAATCCCCTTCCTGGTCAGAGGCCTAAATAAGGCTGAAGTTGGGTGTGGGACTGGAGGTGAGAACAAAAACTACAATTCCCAGGGTACCTTGCACCCGTCCGCTAGGCGCAGGGCACGTGCCCAGGCCTAGCGGTTACATGCCGTCAAAAATCTGCTTCATAGCTTCCCTTTCCCATCCCTGCTTTGGTGGTTGCCCAACCCCCGCGCGCGCGCACTGCAGTCCTGGGGGGCGGGAGGGACATGCTATGGCAGTTGCCCTCGCAACATAACTGGGAGACCGGTATTTGTAAATCTGTGCTTCGACTTCTAATCCCCAAACCGGCAGGTATGGGTCTCGCGAGAAAAGCCGGAAGTTGGAAAAAGGGAGTTAGGGGTGGCGGGCGAAAAGGTGCCGGCGGGTACCACATCTCAGCAGAGCTACAGCATTTAGAGGCGTGCTGAGAACTGAGAGTGGGGTGGAGGGTGGCTAGGATGTAGTATGTGCTTGGACTTTTTTTTCTTTTTTTAGAGGTGCGGATAAGGCAGCTGTGGAGAGAGCGAGAGCTTCAGAACACAGGAGGTGTCGCGTGTGGCTCCTCACTGAGATTTTCTTTTTGGAAGGGGGAGAAGCCTTTCTACTCGACGCGCATCCCTCTCTCCCGCTGGGTTGAAGAGGGCGGGGGAGGCGTGCGCTCGCTCTAGTTGGCTAGCCACTCCGCACCTCGCCGCGATAGGGGCCATTAGGAGTTGGGGCTGCTCCGTTTGGCTTTCTCCGCCCCTCCCCCTCTCCTTTCTTCCCCTCCCTTCCCCGCCCCCCTCTGCCCCTCTCTCCAACCCATCTGAATTCCCTGGCTGGAGTACGCGTGCGCCTGCTCAGCTCCGGGGTGAGCGCGAGCTTGGGCTCATATCCCGCTCTCCTAACCCCGCCCGCTCTTTACCTACCGGTCGTGGGTGGCCCGGTGGGCTCGCGGGGAGACGCTCTTGCGCGCAAGCGCACACGACGCGGAGCGGAGCTCGAGACATCGAGGAGGGGAGTAAGAAGCATCCGAGGAGGCGATAGAGGAGGAGACGGTATGTGTGTATGTGTTCTATTCTACGGTGTGGCTTTTCTAGGGGCGAGAGGAAGCTTGAGAGAGGGCAAGGGAGAAGCAGAAAGAGTCAGAGTCTCTCTATTTGAGAGCCTCTAATCTGGTGAGGGTCCCGAGCCGGCCTGGGCGCTGGAAGAGAGGGAGGAGGCCGGGGGGCGTGTCTGGGATCGGGCTGTGAGATGAATGGGCCAGGGATGAATGGAAGGAGGCAGCGGCGGCCAACAGTCTGTTCTGAGTAAAAGCCCTAGTAGGGGGCGACTTGACCGAGGCAGAGTGAGTGCCTTCACCAATAGGTACAGGGCGAGGCCAGGCTCTGGTCTTCGGGGATATCAGAGCTGCTATCGACGTGACCGAATGGTCGAAGAGGAAAATTAAGAGGGGGAAATTGGGGTAGGGCAGGTTTGAGGTTGCGGTGCGTTTTTTTGTTTTCTTTTTTGTTTTTGTTGAGGGGTGGCAACTTTGGGAGGTGATAGAAGACCCGGCAACCGGGAAGGTGAGGATGATTCAGGAGGGGGGACCTGGAGACGGTTGACAAAGGACTGAATTTAAGTGAGATTGAGGCTACTGAAAGGGAAGACCGCTTCGGGTGTGGGAAATTGAGTAAGGGTTCAGTGGGTTGTATTGATGGGAATGGTGTGGAGGGAAGAGTGGATTTAATTTAGAGGTTCGGTTGATGTGTGAAGGACTTGATAGGGTGAGGGATATTGCTGGCAGGTTGTGTAAATGTGTTCGGTTTAAGGAGACTGAGAGGTGTTATTTGGGAAGGAGTGATGTGTGTTTCTGTGATTGACTGGTTGGGGATGGGGAAGAGATGATATGGGGTTAGAATGAAAGTGATAAGGTGGCTTCACTGTACTGAAAGAGGTTTTGTTTGCTTAGTTAATAGTGGTGAAACATTTATGTAGTGGGGTGTTGGTGGAAATCCTGCACGTGTGTATCTCTGTATCTTGGGAATTGAGAGACATTAAAATGAGACTGAACCCTCAAAACAGATGCGACTGGTATGGCTACTTAAAGAGTTACTGTTGATTGAAACAATTATATGAATAAACAGTCTTTGAGTCGTGAAAATTGTCTGTATAGTAGTGATTGCATCCAATTTTGGGGAGGCATTGTTACCTTTTTTAAAAATCTGTATTAAGTTGTAATACTAAGAGAACTTTTTGAAGAGGGCTTAGTGTATGACCATAAAACAGCAGGTGTCTTTTAGGCAGTCTCAATCCTTTGGATTGACGAGTTTCTTTTTTATTTATTTATTTTGAGACAGTCTCACTGTGATGTCTGGGTTAGAGTGTTGTGGCATCAGGGTAACTCACAGCAACCTGAAACTCCTGGGCTCAAGTGATCCTCCTGCCTCAGCTTCCCAAGTAGCTGGGACTACAGGCACATGCCACCATGCCCATTTTTTTTTCTATTTTTAGTTGCCTAGCTAATTTTTTTTCTCCTTTTAGTAGAGATGGGGTCTCCCTCTTGTTCAGGATAGTCTTGAACTCCTGACCTTGAGCAATCCTCCTGCCTTAGCCTTCCAGAGTGCTAGGATTACAGGCAGGAGCCACTGTGCCCGGCTGAGAGTTCTTGATTTATATTCTGGATACCAGTCCTTTGTCAATTTTGTGTATTGCAAATATTCTCTCCCAGTTGACAGCTTTGTAATTTTATTTTAATTATGTGTCTTTTGAAGAACCAAAGTTTTTTTGGGGGGAGGGGTACAGTCTTGCTCTGTCACCTGGGCTAGAGTGCTGTGGGGTCAGTTTAGCTCACAGCAACCTCAAACTCCTGGGCTCAGGCAATCCTCCTACCTCAGCCTTCCAAGTAGCGGGGACCACAGGTGTGCGCCACCACGCCAGGCTAATTTTTTAAAATATATATTTTAGTTGCTTGGCTAATTTCCTTATATTTTCAGTGGAAATGGGGTCTTGCTTTTGCTCAGGCTGGTCTCTCCTAACCTCAAGCAATCCTCCCGCCTCGGCATCCCATAGTGCTAGGGTTATAGGCGTCAGCCACCACACCCGGCCTGATGAGTTTAAAAATTGTTTAAACTCTATAGTCCAAGAGAAAGGTAGCTTGCATTAAAGATAGCAAAAATGCACTAAAGCTGATTCTGAATGCTAAAATAATTATACATGATTTTTTTTGGTCTTCCGAATTTGTCTTTTTTGTTGTTGTTGTTTGTGACAGAGTCTCCACTCTGTTGCCCAGGCTAGAGCGCCATGGCATCAGCCTAGCTCATAGCAACCTCAAACTCCTGGGCTCAAGCCATTCTCCTGCCTCAGCCTCCTGGGTAGCTGGGACTACAGGCACGCACCACCATGCCCAGCTAATTTTTTCTATTTTTAGTTGTTTGGCTAATTTCTTTCTATTTATAGTAGAGACGGGGTCTTGCTCTTGCTCAGGCTGGTCTCGAACTCCTGAGCTCAAGCAATCCTCCTGTCTTGGCCTCCCAGAGTGCTAGGATTACAGGTGTGAGCCACCGTGCCTGGCCTGAATTTGTCTTATTTGAAAATTGGCGCTTGCTTTTTATTGTGAGTTTAAATTACAACAGATTACTTGGACATTTTGTTCTCCAAATACATTACTTATCTTCTGGTAAGGATGTCTTGTGATGGTCTCTTTCTGTTCTAGGTCAAGATTAATAGTTATGGATTCTTAACTTTTTGTGATTATTTTTACAAATTTTATTGACATATATTCAATTCTCTTGGAAATGTTGCAAATCTGAGAACATTTCCATGCCGTTTTTCTTTATCCTGCTTTGATGTTGGAAAGAGTGTAATCCTTGTTTTGGCTACCCACAGTTCAAATATAAAAGTTAATATTGTGTTATAGTCTCTCAGATTGAGATGAATACTTAGTGTATTAAATGGTACAGTAGAAGTATAGAGGTACTGTGAGAGCCTGGAAATCTTATACTAACTCAGCCAAGCAAAGTGGTCTCCCGGTTTTGAACTAGGTGTTCCTAGAGTGGAAGGACATTTAAGTTTTGAGGCTTGACAGTATAAACATGGTAGGTATATTTGGGGAATGGAATGAGATGAGGCTGGAATCATAGGTTGAGGCTAGGGTGAAGGACTACCCTAAAATAGTTAAGAACCCTTGATTGTTTAAAAAGGAGAATAACAGAAGCAGATTTGTGATGTTCCTCACTGCCTTTGCTTCTGATGCCCCTCTCTACTTGGAATGATCTCACTTCCCCTCCCTTTGAATTTGAACTCATTCTTCTAAGACTTCTGCCATCAACTATTCCTGAAAGCCTTTCCTGCTTCCCCTTTCTTCCTTTTCCCAGTATCCTCCATCAAACTAGATTGGGTGTCCCTCTTTAGAGTTCCCATTCATACCTTGTACATAATTTTATAACTGTACTTTGGTTGGGAGGCAGGCAGGAAAGATATTTCTTCCTTATCTGAAAGAGAAAATGAAGCTCAGAAAAATAAGACTTGCCCTAGAAAGTAAGTGGTAGACCCTGGAATTCTGACTTCTAGACCAATGTTGATCCTCATATTACAAGTCTGCATTTGCTGATATATTTATTCTACAGTGTTAACTTTCTTCCATAAAGTAGAAGAGTTTCTGTTTTTACTACATTGTTTGTTGCTTAGCCAGTAAATGATAAAGCCAATGGGTGCAAAGAACTAGAGTAGACAGAAGTAAAGAAAATGAGGAATGTTATATTAATATTACGATCAGATTTCTTGTCAGATAATTGAATTAAAAATAATTAATGGAGGGCTTAAATTTTGTATACATGTTTTTGTGGGGGGAGGAATTGTGTATAAATTAAAAAACCATTTCTTTTTTAGTCTTTCATCTTAGTATAAGTAGACCAGCTCTATTTGCAGATATACTTGATTATGGCTCTTGGCTAAAAGCCAGAATTCTTCCAAAGGGGTGGATATTTTTCATCGTTGAGATCATAAAATTTATGATACTGTTAGGAGGTTAGGAGATATTTGAAGACTTTAAAGCATATCCATAAAGGCATTCATTCAGAAATTTTCAAAGCTTCAAAGGTAGAATTGATATAATTTTTAATTGTTTTGGTAGAGCTTGTTTTGAGATATTTGGTTTGGAAAATGTTGAGATAAATAGAAATAGAAACGAAGCACATTGTTTTTTGTGTTTTAGCATAGTAACTTTTAAAAATTGTGATAAGGCTGGGTGTAGTGGCTCACACCCATAATCCTAGCACTCTGGGAGGCTGATGTGGGAGGATTGCTTGAGCTCAGCAGTTGAGACGAGCCTAAGCAAGCCTGAGACCCTGACTCTACTAAAAATAGAAAAATTAGCTGGACATCATGGTGTACGCTTGTAGTCTGAGTTACTCGGGAAGCTGAGGCAGGAGGAGGAGCTTAGGAGTTGGAGGTTGCAGTGAGCCATGATGACACCAGTGCATTCTACCTGGGGCTACAGAGCAAGACTGTCTCAAAAAAAAATTGTGATACAATTCATAAAACATAAATTTGCCATTTTAAAGTGTGTGTAGTTCAGTGGTATTAACTAACTTCATGATGTTGTGCAGCTAGCACTACTATCTGGTTCCAAAACATTTTTTTGTCATTCCAAAAGAATACTTTATACCCAGTAGGCTGGGTACAAAGCAATGTATGAGGGTTCCAATTTCTCCACATCCTCGCCAACACTTGTTACTTACTGTTTTTTTTTTTTTTTTATGGCCATCGTAGTGAGTATGAAGTGGTATCTCCTTGTGGTTTTGATTTACATTTCCTAATGACTAATGATGTTGAGACTCTTTTCATCTGCTCATTGGCCATTTGCATATCTTCTTTGGAGAAATGTGTGTTCAAATCCTTTGCCTATTTTTAATTGGGTTATCTTTTGGCCAAGCTACAGGAGTTTTACATAATCTGTTTACTAGTCACTTACCAGATATATATGATTTGAAAATAGTTTCTTCTATTCTGTGTTTTCTCTTTTTCTTTTTCCTTTCCTTTCTTTCTTTCTTTTTTCTTTTACTTTTTTTTTTTT